TATTGCTGAGAGAATTCCATTGTCTGGATATGCTATAATTTGCCTCTCCATTCACCTGTTGATGAACGTATGGGTTGTTTTCAGGTTTTGGCTCTTATAAGCATTTGTGTAAAAGTCTTTGTGTGGATACATATTCTAATTTCTCTTGCATAAACGGGAATTGAATTGTTTGGTTGAATAAGTCAAACTGTTTTCTAAAATGGTTTAAATATTTTACATTCCCATCGTCCATGATGAGAGTTCCAGTTGCTCCTCTCTACCCAATACTTGTTCTAAACCCTTTGTCTTTCCATATTATAAATTTTTTTTATTTCACTTTGCTAGTATATAGAAATACAGTTGATTTTTATACTTGACTTTATTTTTTTTTTTTAAAGATTTTATTTATTTATTTGAGAGAGAGACAGTGAGAGAGAGCATGAGCGAGGAGAAGGTCAGAGAGAGAAGCAGACTCCCCATGGAGCTGGGAGCCCGATGTGGGACTCGATCCCAGGACTCCCAGGATCATGACCTAAGCCAAAGGCAGTCGTCCAACCAACTGAGCCACCCAGGCGTCCCTATACTTGACTTTATTAAACTCACTTATTAGTTCTATCAGCTTTTTTAATACATCCCCTAGGCATTTCTATGTACATGATCTCTATTTAAAAAGAGTTTTAGGGGCGCCTGGGTGGCTCGGGTCATGATCTCGGGGTCCTGGGATCGAGTCCCACATCGGGTTCTCTGCTCAGTGGGGAGCCTGCTTCCCTCTCTCTCTCTCTCTGCCTGACTCTCTGCCTCCTTGTGATCTCTGTCTGTCAAATAAATAAATAAAATCTTAAAAAAAAAAGTTTTATATCTCTTTTAAACTACTATGCATTTTATTATTTTTTCTTTTTGCCTTTATTGTATTAATTAGGATCTTCAGTACAATGTTCTTGCCTTGTTCCTGATCCTTGTTCCTGATAAAGCTTTTAGCCCTTGAACATTAAGTATGATATTATTGATGTATATATCATGACTGCCATTTACCAGACTTCTATTCCTAGCTTACTGAGGGTGTTTATTATAAATGGATGTTGATTTTTTGTCAAATGATCTTTCTAAATTTAATGAGATTATCATGTGATTTTTCTCCTTTATTCTCTTAATTTGGTGGTTGCACTGATTGATTTTTGAGTGGGAAGCTAAACTTGCAGAGTTAAGCTATATTTGGACACGATGTTTTATTCTTATAATACATTGCGGGACAGGCTTGCTAATATTTTGTTAAGGATATTTGCATCTACATTCATGTTAAGACATTGCTTTGTAATTTCTTATAATGTCTTTGCCTACTTTTGGTAATAAGATAATGTTGAACTCACAAAATGGGAAGTGTTCCCTAATTCTTTTTTTTGTTTGTTTTTTAAAGATTTTACCTATTTATTTAACAGACAGAGATCACAAGTAGGTAGAGAGGCAGGCAGAGAGAGAGGGAGGAAGCAGACTCCCTGCAGAGCAGAGAGCCCAATGCGGGACTCGATCCCAGGACCCTGGGATCATGACCTGAGCTGAAGGCAGAGGCTTTAACCCACTGAGCCACCCAGGCGCCCCCCCTAATTCTTTTGTCTTGAAAGAGTTTATGTAACAATTGCATTTTTCCTTGTGTGTTTGATAGAAGTTATAAGTGAAGCCATCAGGAAATAGTCTTTGCTTTGTGAAAGGATTATAATCCAATTCTTTGATATAGAGCAATTCAGGTTTTCTGTTTCTTCTTATGTCGGTTTTGATAGTTTGTCTATTTTCAGCTCCAGAATTTCCATTTGGTCCTTTTTTAGAGTTTCTTTTTCTCTTCTGAGATTCCTCACCTCTTTCTTCAATATTGCTGTATTACACGGAAATGTAAATGTAAAAATGTTACATTTTTAACATTGTAACAAGTTCTTGTCTGCTAAGTAAAATCTTTCTAAAAAGGGGGTGGGGGACACCTGGGTGGCTGAGTCAGTTAAGTGTCTTCCTTCTGCAAGGTCATGGTTCCGGAGTTCTGGGATCGAGCACCGCATCAGGCTCCCTCTGTGCTCTTTCTCTCTCTCTTTCTCAAGTAAATAAAATCTCTTAAGAAAAATAAAGTTCTTATCTGCTAATTATAAGTTCGGTTATCCTGGAGTTGCTTCCTTTTTGTCTTAATTCTTGATCACACTTCTCCAATTTCTCCACATGACTAGTAATTCTTAATATTGTATGAGACATTTTAGATGATAAGTTCTGTCATCTTATTCTAAAGCATGATAGATTTTGTTCTAACAGACTTATCTTATCTTGGCTCCACTCATAAACTCCACACTCTGCTTCCTCTATGATGGGTAGCAGCTAAGCCAAGACTTCCAACTGTTGCTTTCTGCTGGGACCCCAGAGGTCTCTCCATGCAACTCATGTGTACTTCAGTGGTTAGTCCAAGACTTGGGTGGTTTATAAGCAGATTTTGGTCCTTTTCCCCAGTTGCTTCTACTTTTCAATGACTTGCCCCACCATTTTTCACTCCAGTAGCCCTTCATTTTCAACTCTGACTCCTTGAGCCAGTAAGATGGCAACTTTCTACTTGAGTTCTAGCTGCTCCTGACAGCATGGAATGGGGAGTGCACTCAGGTGGGAAGGCACACAAAGGACATCCCACCCACTGCAGTTCACCTCTTTTAAGGCTGATTTGCTGCTTCGACTTGTTTTCGACACTCCCCAGGTCTGTCAAAGTTAGTTGTTTTCTATACATGTTATCCATGGGAGGGTTAATCTGACACAAGCTTCTTTGCCACTAACTGAATAAGAACTGCTCTATTTATTTCCACAGGGAAATTTGGGAAGATTTAAAACAAAATGACACGATCACCACCATCATCTCTCCAGAATTCCCAATATTTTTGACAGAACAAGATTTATATTCACACACTCTTGATAATGTCTCTCTTCTCTTGCCCAATGATTTTTTGTGTGATTCCAATTATGTTTTTTAAATATAACAAATAAATACTAGCAGATAAGCCAGCCATAAAATACACTTAAAATAGAATTTAAGCCTAGAATAAGATAAAAATTCTCGATAGTGACAGCAAATGCCTTACATGGTCTGGTCCTGTGTACCACTCCAATCTTATCTCTTACAATTCTCTACTTAGTTTATTATCTCCAGATACCCCAGCCTCCTTTTTGTTCCTCAAATACCAGAGCATCTGCCATTCCTATCATGTAGAATGCTCTTCTCTCCAGTCATGACATGACTGCTTCTTGTGATCACCCAGTTCTCTGAGAAAATATTGAATCTTCAGAGCGGCCTTTCCTGATTACCTTGCCTAAAAGAGCAAACCCTCTCTCCCACCCCAGTTATGTTCTAACATAATTGTTATGATTATGTTCTAACACCTTACTCTGCTTTATTTCCTTCATAGCACTAATCACTATCTAAAATTATTCATCCCTATCTTTGTTTATTGTCTGGCTCCCCTCTTAAAGGAAACTACCAAGAGGGCAGAATTTTTGTCTTGCTCACCAATGTATGCTTGGTGGCTAGAACAGTTATCTGGCACAGAGTATGTTTAATAAGTACTTATTACATAAACAAATGAAAAATGATAAGGCAGGTGATGAGGTGTACCTCATTTTCCCCCATTAAACTCTTCTGGCAACAAAAGAAATTAAGATACTGAAAATATGCAAAAAGTAATCAAAATTATATAAACTAAGTTCCTCATATTTAATTTAAAATAAAGCCAGTATTTCATTACTTTAGGACAGTGAAAACTGCACAATACATTATAGAATCATGTGAATTCACAAAGCAAACATAAATTCTCAATTGGTAAGAGAAAAAAACCTGAAAGGAAAAAAAAGAAAGAGAGAAAGAAAGAAAGAAAGAGAGAGAAAGAGAGAAAGAAGGAAGGAAGGAATGCCCTGGAGGAGTGCTTCTTGTACCTCTGGACCCAAATGCTCCCACTGCCAAGGCAGCCTGCACAAGGACGTCATCTGCACCAGCTGGGACTGCACCATCTTCTATAGGTGCAAGAAGGAGCGGAAGGACCTAGAAGACCAGGAGCAGCTTCTGAGGAGCTTTGGCCCTCCTGGCCCTGAGGCCTGGAGGCCTCTGACAGGGGCAGCTTCTCACTAGGGCTGGGGGTGGTGGAGGGGGGCAGTACTGGTGGAGAACTAATAAAGATCAGGCCTTTTGTTTCAAAAAAAAGGAAGAAAAGAAGGAAGGAAGGAAGGGAGGAAGGAAGAAAGGTAGGTAGGTTATGGTTGTCAAAGTTGTTTAACACATAGAAATTAAGTAAACCCCTGGCAGTGAAATTTGGGGATGAATGGGCATATGACATTCATTATAACTAATTATATTATTAATTATATGATTATAAATAATTAAGGTGGTAGGCTATTTAAAAGCTCAAGGAACAACAGGTACTTACTGATAGCATTTAGCTTCAGAAGATTTATATGCTTAATTTTAAAACACAATGTTCTCTCAAAACACCAAGTAGTCATCTCAAATTCAAGCCAAAGAAACAGTAACAACAACAACAACAACAATAGTGTTATGTGTTTAGATAATCATTGTTCAGGCTCACTTCTATTAATATTTTATTTTATTATTCTTTTTAATAAAATTATACCATTCAAATTAAGTCACACATGAAATTAGCTTTGGAAGGAAATCACTTTGGTATATTATTTAAACCTTCTAGGATAAAATGCATGCAAGGTCTTCTAATCATGCGCAATTAACAAGACATGTGAGGTATAAAATGGACATTTATTTTTATTACTCTCAATAGAAGATCAGAGTTATAGTAAGTTTCTCAGAAACAACTGTAACAAATTACTTCATGGTACAAAATTGCTTTAGAAATTTTCCTGGTGAATGGCAGATGGGGCAGCTATGTTTCACACCATTAGTTCCCAAATGTAGAATTCGATAGAATGGTATTAATGAGAAAAACCTAATTCTTGAAATGGGGATATGTTAGAAATATAATACTTTTTTTTTGCATGATGTTAATAATTTCAATCTAAATTAATCCTAAATTTGTAATAGGAACAAATGCAAGTAGATTTCATTAACAAGGCAATCCAAGTATATGCAACTCTATCCATGTTTAAATTTATTCCCTTCCAAAATTTTCTGTAAGAGCCATAACTTCACCAGAAATGCTCATAGGGACTGATCTATAGATCCAATAGTATTAAGAATGGGCAAACTAATAAATATACAACATAAAAAAATAATAAGGATAAGTCTCCTGGCTCCCAAATCATTTCATAGTACCACACTTGCCTGTGCTTACTACTACCTTCAAGTTATTTAGAAGAGTGACACTCTAACTTGTGAATGTCCTATAAGCCCCATATGAGTGTTGCTTCTGTAGTAAGCTTAAATATTCAGTGCTTAATCTTGATCTGGAAATGCTATTGTGCAATTTGTCTTATATCTCGATTTCCACCAAAAGGATAAAAATAAAAAAGAAACAAGAGATGAAAGTGGGAGGTGGGGAGGTTTGTGGGCAGGATTATCTTCATTATCTTGGCAGGTGGACACATTTTTGCCTTAGAGCTGAACCAATTTTGCTGATACTCAACTATCCCAAAGTGAAAGATTTACAAGAGCAAAGAAGTGATTATGTGAGTGAAGATTTGAAAACCTATGGGATATCAAGTCCTTTGATGTTGCATTTTTAACAGGACTCTTCTTTCACCTGCACTGCTATATAAGACAAATCGCTCTGCTCACTCTTGACATCCCAGTCTGCATCTGGGTCACTGGAGTAAATGTCAAAGACAGAGGCACTTCTAGACCGCAATCCCTCGGTCTGAGTAGTGGCGTTACACAATCGTTTTCCAAACACTTTCACTTTGGCCTGAATACCTGAAAGAGAATAAACACATTTGCCTGTGAATTACACTTTGCTTGTCATTTATCTTTCATATACAAAAGATCAATTCAATGATCAGTCAGTTGAAGAGTCCAAACGTACCAACGCTGCGGTGAGGGGGCCTTTTCAGAGACATTTGTGTACTTTTATGCACTGGGCCGTCTTCACAGTGAGTAGGTACTGAAGTGGCACCATAAGAAAGATTATTAGCAGGGACTTGTGTTTGTTTAACTTCATTTTCACATGTAATCTAAAAATATAAACCAGAGGAGAACCATATCAAAGGTAGCCTAACAAGTATGGTTTTATCTTTCAAAAGGGAGAAGTAGTAAAAGAGTATAAATAATAGTTTTCAAGGTCATATATTAGGAAGACTGGAATTGGAACCCAGGCAAGCTGGCTCCAAAGTCCAAGTTCGTAAGAACTCTGCCATACTGTTGTTTACTATTTGTAAATCATAAATTGCCAACATTCTGGTTAAACAGAAATATTTAAGTTATTATTTGCTTACAACTCATTATTTTTTCCCTAAATCAATAGCTGTAAGAGCTAATACTACTAGTATTAAATTATTGGATATCCTAGCAGTAGCATTATTCTGGAAAGCCCAAACATCGGTCTTTTATCGGTCTTACAGAGAAATACTTAAACAAAATAATATGACTGACTTTAATGTTTTTATGCCTTCCTGAGAAAAATTACAATGTGAAATGGAAATTTTGATCTGTGGGGGAAGAAAGAGATAGAAAGAAAAAGGACTTGGATACTTAGATGGAACATCAGCAATTGTACTACTAGGTATTTATCCAAAGGATACAAACATAATGATTCGAAGGGGCAGCTGCACCCCAATGTTTATAGCAGCAATGTCCACAATAACCAAAATATGGAAAGAGCCCAGATGTCCATCAACAAATGGATAAAGATGATGTGGCGCTACATATATATATATATATTGGATGGAAACTTCTAGTTCCATCCATGTCATTGCATATGGGAGATTTCATTCTTTTTGATGG